GGGGAGGCAGGAGGAGGGGGTGCCCAGGGCAGAGCTGCCCGGTGCCCCACTGACAGGGGTGGGCAAGGACCTGCACCCAGCAGAGCTGGGGCACGGCCCTGGGACAGAACCAGGCCCTGGGGGCAGAGGCTGGGGGCTGTGTGGGGGCGAGGGGAGGACTGTGCTGTGCTGTGCTGTGCTGTGCTGTGCCGCACAGCAGTGGCCCGACGGGAGCCATTTTACATGCGCGGGCTCCCAGCCCCTCCTCTGCCCCGCAGCCCCCCTGCTCGGGCACAGCGCCGGCGAGCGAGGACCGAGGGTGGCCGTACCCTAACCCCCTGGGGCTGGGAGAACCTCTGGGTGTTGGGATAGAGCGCCCACTCCCAGCACCCTGACCCCCAGCACCCACAGCCCCCCTCTGCGCCCCGGCTCAGCTGCCTCCCCATCCCACCGCTCCCGAAGGGATGTGCCAGCACCAGCCCCGGGCTCCGGGGGGTTTGCCGTGGGGACAAGGCTTGGAGGTGGCACGGACACAGGCATCCATCAGCTGGGAGCGGTAAATGGAGCCTCGGCTCGGTGAGGGACCCGCCTGAGCCTTCCCCGGCTGCCGCTGGGCAGGGGGGATCGGGTACATCCCGTGCTGCGCCTCTGCCCGGCTCGGGCAGCATCCCAGGGATGTCTCCAGCCATCCTCCACCTCCACACTGGGAAGCCGAGCTGTGAAGGTGTCAGCTCTGCTCCACTCCAAACTTCGGGCCCCTCCAGCTCCCTCCCCTCCTGGCTGTGTGTGCCTGGGTGCATTTCTGTGCGAGGTTCTGTGGTGAGGGCGTTCATACAATTTAGGGGTGTGTTTGCACCTGCACATAAGTCCATGTAGACCTTTTGCATGTGCGGGGGTGTGTTGGAGGAGGGGGTGGGTTTGTACCCGCCTGTCAGCCCCCCCGATGGCCCCAAGTGGTGGGACTGGGGCTGGTAACTGGGCTCAGCGGCCAGAGCACATGCAGGGGAGGTGGAGAGGCCGGGCCACGGGCTGCCCGGGGCACCCCGGGCACCCAGCACCACTGAGGATTGGGACTGCTCCCTCGGGTGTGCTGAGAGCAAACCATGTGGACAGGAGGGAGGATCATGCTGTGTTTGTGTGCACGGTCACACACAGCAGTCACCGTGTCTGTAATCCCTGTGTCCTGGGTGTGTGTGGCAGTGGGTGTGCTGGTGTGCACCACTGGCTGGTGTGGGGGACCGTGGTGCTGTGTGCCATGGGGGGTGCAGCAGTGTTTGACCTGGGGGAGTGGGGTGTGTGTGTGTATGTGTGCATGTAGGGCACACTGTGGGGTGCCATGTGTGTCTGTGTGTGTGTATGTGTGTGTCTGTGTGTGTGTGTGTCTGTGTCTGTATGTGTCTGT